TAGTCGTCCTTCGAATAACGGGAGATAAAATATCTTCGGCTTTGCCTACGAAAAATTCGCAATTCGATATCTTGTTCGCGATTACATTTTCCTTCGCGTCTTTGATGGCATCCTCTATCATTTCTAGTCCAAATACTTCGCCACAATACTAAAATTGTGCTTGCGTTTATTTCTTCTCTTGAAAATTTTATCAGTTTTTAACGAATCTCTGATACCTTTGAAAATGCAAGACCAATGGTCCCAGTGCCGCAACAAATATCGAGTAACGCGGTGTCCATGTTTGGTTTTGCCAAATCAATCGCTGCTTTGTACAATACTTGAGCACCTAATGTATTTATTTGAAAGAACGCTTGAGGAGATATTCGAAATTTCATATCTAACAATTTTTCTTCTATGTATTTTGTTCCGCTAATATGATGAAAATTTTCTTCATCTTTTCCGTCGATACTTCTAAGAAAAGATAAAAAGCGATTTAACCGAATTGTCATAATTGTGTAAACGCTCGGTTTATAATCTTACTTTATTTTCATTATTTGAAGATATAACGATGTTACTCGTGCTTGTACACCTTTTCCAATTTCAAAAAATGTTTTGAGTTGTAGTTTCAATTCATCCAATTTTTGAGAGGTCAAATCTTGAGGATGTATCCCCACTATTACCATAAGATGATCAGAAAGAGTAGTTCTAACTGTAACTTGTCTCCAGTACCCACTATAATCAACTGGATCAAAAGGTGTTAATTCAGTGTTTTTCATGAATTCTTCGAGTACCTAAAATACTCCTAATACAAGCAACAAATCTGAGATAGTAAAAAGGAAAGGATCATTCTCAAGAACTTACTTTAACTACAACTTTCATTTTACTAGGAATATGGCAAAGATTGTCGATAGGTCCCACTGCTGTGGAACCAGATGCATAAGTAGATAATCTGAATCCTATTACAATTTTGTCTTCTTTGTCACTTTTACCTAAATCAAATCAATATTATACATAATATGTTTAATTTATCGTAATTTATCTGTAAGATAAGTAAAATTTGAATGAAATTACCAACTGTAAATTCACATTTATTTCTATATTCCTTAATTGTATCTATACTTAAAATAGGAAGCAATTCACAAGGTAAACCTTGATATTTATTTTTTTGACAATTCAGCCAATCCAAAAGATCACCTTTACTTTCTTTCAACATTTGTTTACATATAGTTGTCAAAATTGAATTCATTTCCTTTTGTTTTAGTTCCAACTAAAAATATATTATCAAATTCTTATTATGTACATTTTAATCCCATATTATTAATATAGTAAGTCTTACTTGATTCGGATAAGGCATATTCCAAAGAGGAATGGTAGTTAATTTAACTTTATCTTCTATAGATATAATTTGATCATCTTCTTCTATCTTTAAACGTTTCTTTGCATTTTCCTCTTCTAATTTTTTTTTTATAAATGGATCTGGTGCAGGTTTCGCGATCTATTTTTAATAGATGTAACTATTTTATATAAATGTATACAATGATTTAGTTAAAATTATATATTTTTCGTATTTTATTCAATGAACTTCGAATATATTGATATGTAAATGTTTAAATATTAATTACGAAGAACAAAATGCGAAATAGCATAACATTAAATTGATATACCTGAGCACTAAGCTTGTAATTTTTCCATAAAATACCATTTAATGTTTCTATTGCTTTCTGACGACTTTCTTCGTTTCTAAAAGATACATAAAGCCATCCACTGCTTCGTTTTGGTGGCTTTATTTTGCACGATTGCAAGTCTAGCTTTTCATTTAAGAGTTTTTTAAACTCACCAATTCCATAATATTTTGGTAATCCGTGTACTTCGATTTTATATTTTTCTGACGTAAAATCAGCTCTTTCAAGATACGCATAAGGATTCTTTTCTATTTCTGTAGATTCGTTTGAAGCCATTCTTTTCAGATTTTTTTAAAATATTCAACCTAACCACTTGTTCTCTTTACTTCAACGTTCATATGCTCTTATATTAGGTTATATTAGGTTAAGTTAGATTAAAGTAGTTTAATCGTAAATCAATAAACAATGTGTATTTGTATAAAGATTTGAAAGAAATTTGCATAAGATAAAATATCATAAATTTAAATAAAGCAGTATTACAAATTAAAGTTATAAAGAAATGAATACAAAATTGATATATTTTCGCGTTATATTTTATAATGTAAAAATAGTTTTCAAATTATCAATGTCAATTTTATTTATAAAAATTTTATTATTTAAGTCATATTTTTGTAAAATTGTAAAATTTAAATTATAAGACTTATTTAACGATATTTTTTTCTTTTTTTCTCTTTTGCTTTATTCAATCAGAATGAATCAGGAAGCTAAAAGTTGTTATTTGAAAAGCAATGATAAATCGCTACTGACAGTCTATTTGCCACATAATAAACCAATTTTCGTCGGTCGTTCTCCAGAGACAAATATTACAGATACACAATGTTCTAGATTACAAGGTTAAAATTTTTATAAATTTATTATATTACATAATTTATATATAATTGGTAATTATTGTAATTATTATTTAATTTATAATATAATCATTGCATATTATATTCTTTATAGTACAAGTATGTGCAGATTATCAAAAGTACAATGTTTATATTCAACAAAATGGAAAAAGATCTTCTGGCTTTAATGGTTTTAAAATGCGTAAAGACATCAAATTTGTAGGCAAACATGAGGATTATTTAGAAATATTATATGGAAAGCATATTTATCAGATTGAATTTAATCCTCCACCTCCAAAAATTTCTTTGATAGAGAAAAGAATCAGAGATTCAGAAACATGTGATGAATATAAAGAAAATTCTTGTAAAATAGCTAAAATTGAAAATGATGAAACAGATACTATTGCTACATACGAAGAAGTTCATGAGGAAAAAGAAGTAAAAAGAAAAGAAAAACAGATAAAAAATGCTCATGGTATTTTAAAATTCGTAAGCAGAAGTAAAATGTCTCCAGATACATTTGAAGATACAGATGATGTAATAGACACTGAACAGGATATGTGGGAATGTAAGCAAACTGGATTATTAATATATACAGCAAAGGGTGCAGAAAATCGCTCAATGGTAAATAAACAAAATATATATTTAGATTATATATTTTCAAAAATGAATGGAATCTTGTTTTTAGATAGCAGCATATGATTTGGATGGAACTTTAATAAAAACAAAATCTGGTTTGGTATTTCCAAAAGATTATGATGATTGGCAAATCATATATGCTAATGTGCCGGCCAAATTAAAAAAGCTCTATAAAGATGGCTATAAAATAGTTGTTTTCACTAATCAAGCATCTTTTACATCTGGAAAATTAAATCCTGATTCTTTCAAAAATAAACTTAAAAATATAATACAAGAAATTGGTGTTCCAATGCAGGTATATTTTTTTTTTATATAATCTATATAAAAAATAAACAAATATAAATTATATATAATGAATCTTATGTATTTATAGATATTTATAGCTACTGGATATAATATCTATAGAAAACCAGCAATTGGGATGTGGCAAGAACTAGAAAAAGTAAGATTCATTTCATCATTCATGAATAATTATTTTTATCGGCTAAACTTTTTAAAAACTTTTTAAGTAACTTTTTTACAGAAAAATAGCCCTATATCTATCGATAAAGATAAATCCTTTTACGTTGGAGATACTGCCGGACGAGCGAAAAATTGGGCTCCCGGAAGAAAAAAGGATCATTCATCGGTTGATCGATTATTAGCGCTCAATTTGAATTTGAAATTCTATACGCCAGAAGAATTTTTTCTCGATTTCAAACCGATTCCTTATGAATTACCCATATTTAATCCAAAAAATTTATCGAATAAGGAGATATGCTCAGGAAGCAATATAACTTCAAATGATCAAGAAGTAAATAAAACTATTTTCGCTGTTAGAGATATTTATATTATAATTATAAATAATGCTAATATTAATTGTTAATTTATATTTTTAGATCATTTTAATGGTTGGTTGTCCAGGTTCTGGAAAATCATATTTTGTAAAAAATTATTTGGATCATTATGGATATGTTAATAGAGATACTCTTGGAAGCTGGAAAAAATGTATTACTACAATGGAAAAACATCTGGATGAAAAAAGTAGTGTAGTTATAGATAATACCAATCCCGATTGTGTATCGAGACAAAGATATATCGAAATAGCGAAAAAATATAACATTCCTGTAAGATGTTTTGTTATGACGACAAGTATTGATCATGCAAAGCACAACAATAAGGTAAAAATAATTTTAATTTTTGATGTAACAACATTTACAATACAAATTTTAAGTTAAATATTTTGTTTCAGTTTCGAGAATTAACTGATCCTAGTCATGCAAAAGTTAATGACGTGATTATTAATTCTTATGTGTAAGTAAAATTAAATTATACGTAAAATTAAATTTATATAAAATCTATTGTTAAATTCATTTTTAGAAAAAATTATCAACAACCAAGTTTGGAGGAAGGATTTAAAGAAATTGTTAATATAAATTTTGTACCAAAATTCCAGAAAGAGGAAGATCGACGACTTTACGAAATGTATTTGCTTGAAAGATAAAATTTTACATTATGTGATTGCTTTTAAATATAATAGAATAAAAACACGTTAGTAATAATTTTTAGAAAATTTTAAGAAAATAAGATTTGATTATCTAAATCTAACTTATTTATTAAATATATATGTATATGATTATGAAAATAAAATATATACATTTTATAAAATATCTTATAGAAAAAATTAACATCAAAGTATTAGTTTTGTTTATATATTTGGTCATAATTGATAAAATAATAAAAATAAGTGATAAAATGATTTGAATTTCAATAAAAATATTACAGTTTTTATTGAATTAATTACTATTTTTCATACTTATTATTATTTTCACATCCTTTGTGGGAAATAAATAATAATTTACTGGATTTGTGAGTAGTAAGTATACTGAATATTACATATATGCATAAAATTTTAACCTGTTATGTCCAAAACAACATAACCTATTTGAAACGCGTGTTTCATAAAATGTGTAACATAAAATGCTCAATAATAATTATGAATAATACAAAATGTCGCGATTGATTGTAAAAAATTTACCAAAAAATGTAAGTAATAAAAAATGTAACAATATAATTATAATTATAATGTGAATAAAAAATTTTAATACGTAATAAAAATTCATAGATTACAGATACAAAATTGAAAGAGTTTTTTAGTGAAAAGGGTTTAATAACTGACGTACAATTAAAATATACAAAAGATGGAAAATTCAGACGATTTGCTTTTATTGGATTTAAGACAGAAGAACAAGCTATAGCTGCCAAAGAATATTTTGATAAAACATGTATCGATACCTGCAGAATATCAGTTGAGCAATGTGCAAGTTTAGGTATTATTATAAATATAAATGTTATACTATAAATATTTATTTATGATGATAATTTTAATTTAATATATATTTATTGATATTAAACTTCAAAGGAGATTCTTCTAAACCTAGATCATGGAGTAAATATGCATCTGATAGTTCAAGAAATGTAATTAATAATAAACAATTTAATGATAAAATAGAAAATGGAAATGTGAATAAAACAATAGATAAGAAAGAGGAAAGAAATAAAAAAGATAAAAAAGAAGAAAATGTAAAACCTGAAGTCAAAGAAGCATTGGAGAAGGTATAATTATAACTTTATACTTTTATATAGCAGTTGTTAAAATTTTTTACGTGTAATTTCATATTGATTTATATTTAGCATAAAAATGATCCTTTATTTATGGAATTTCTTGAAAGTCATACAAATAAAGCCATATGGAATAATGATACAATATTGACAAATATTCAACCTAAAGAATATAACGATAATGAAATAAATAGCATTGAAAATGATATTAAGGATAATATTAAACAAGAAGAAAAAGATGAAGAAGAAGAAGAAGAAGAAGAAAAAGAAAAAGAAAGAAAAGAGAAAGAACAAAAAATTGCACATAAAGTTGTATCCGATTTAGAGGTAAATTTAAATACATATATTTCTTTGTTACTTATTAATTTGTTTGATAAATATTAATAATATTTATTTTTTTTTAAATAGTATATGGAAGCTTTAAAAAATAAAGAAAAGAATGTACAAAATAAAGTTTCAAATGGTAATACATCTATACATGGGCCATTAAAATTATTTACTGTAAAACTTCGAGGATTAGCATATAATCATAAGAAAAAAGATATCAAACAATTTTTTAGTCCATTAAAAGCAAAATCGATACGAATATCGCCAAAAATTAAGGGTATTGCTTATGTTGGTTTCAAAACTCCACAACATTTGAGAAAAGCGTTATTGAAAAACAAAAGTTTTTTAGGTATTTCATAGTTTGCACATATTAAGATTTAATTTTTTTTATTTTTTTCCAAACTTTGACCTGTTAATATTTTTATATTTTTAGATGGGAGACAAATATTTGTAATAAAATATGAAGTGAAGGAAGAAAAGTTTAAAGAAGAACAAAATGAAAATAACGATAACGTTAAATGGAAGAAGCAAGCAGAAGCATTGAAAAGTGAAGAAAGTATAGCAGAATCTGGAAGAATGTTTATTCGAAATCTGTCCTATACGACAACCGAAGATGATATTCGAAAATTATTTGAAAAATATGGTAGATAATTTTTTTTTTTTTTTTTCTAATATGATATTAACGTATAAATTTCTATTTTTTCTATTTAGGCCCTTTAACTGAAGTTAATTTACCCATCGATCGAATAACCAGAAAATCAAAAGGATTTGGTACAATAACATTCTTAATGACCGAACATGCGGTAAAAGCTTACAGCGAATTGGACGGATCGATTTTAGATGGAAGGATGTTGCATCTTCTTCCAGCCAAAATGAAAATTGATTCGCTAGAAGAACTCGACGAAAGTAAAAACATATCGTGATTCTATAATTTTTTGTAATAATTCGAATATTGGTATTATATAATTTTATAATTTTTGTATTATTTACTTATAGAAGAATTAACTTATAAACAGAAGAAAGAATTGAAAGCTAAATCAGCTGCGGGATCGTCACATAACTGGAACACTCTTTTCCTTGGTCAAAATGCTGTAGCTGATGCTATAGCTACCACTTATAATACAACAAAGGAAAATGTACTCGAAGATGGATCAAAGGGTTTGAGTGCTGCAGTTAAATTAGCATTAGGAGAAACACAATTGGTTCAAGATACCAAAAACTTTTTGGAGGAAAACGGAGTTTGTTTGGATGCATTTAACCAAGTAAATATTATTCGAAACGTAGATACCAATGATAATCAAACGATTTAATGAATTTATTTTTTCCAGCCATCAAGTGAACGATCAAAAACAATAATATTGGTAAAGAATTTACCTGCTGCAACACCAGCACAAGAGATTCGACAATTATTTGCACGACATGGCGAATTGGGTAGAGTTGTGATGCCACCTTCAGGAATCACTGGTATAAATTTTAATATAATTATTATCATTATATGTGTCTCTTAATAACATTATATCGTATAATTATATAATATTATTTTATTGTGTTTAGCTTTGGTAGAATTTTTGGAACCCTCTGAAGCGCGAAAAGCATTCACGAAATTAGCCTATACTAAATATAAACATCTACCATTATATCTGGAATGGGCACCTGACAATAGTTTTATTACTCCTGCGATAAAAAACAAAACTATTAAAGATGAAACAAACAAAAAAACAGAAGAAAAACAAGAAAAAGAATTATTGGAAAATGTAAATGATACGAACAAGGTTAATAAAGAAGAAAGCGAAGATGAGGACGAACCTGAACCAGACACAACTCTTTTCGTGAAAAATATTAATTTCTCCACTACGGACGAACAATTAAAATCGGTAAATAACTTAACATAACCTAAACATTGCCTCCTATATTGTTTAATATATAATATATTTTTTTTATAGTATTTCGACAAATGTGGTCCTCTTCATTATGTCTCGATAGCAACGAAGAAAGATCCGAAAAATCCTGGTGCCAAGTTGTCGATGGGTTATGGATTTGTAAGATATAAAAGAAAAGCAGACGCGGATCGTGCACTAAAAGTTTTACAAATGACAGTGTTGGACGGAAAAACTTTAGAACTCAAACGTTCCGAACGAACGCTAACGTATGCTTTCAGCTTCAATTTCAGCTTCCTTGACATTTACAATTTTCAATAAACATCTCTATTTATCCGAATGTGCAGAACCGATGTAAAAAGTGCAAAAAAGACGTCCACGGTAAAAGCTCAAACGGGTACAAAAATTTTGATAAGAAACGTGCCGTTCCAAGCAACAGCCGAGGAAATAACCGAACTATTCAAGTACGTATTTTAAATATTTTAAAAAGAAGAGAAGTAAATTTTTTTTATTTACACGTTTCTTTTCTAAAATACCAGAGCGTTCGGAGAGTTGAAGGCAGTTCGATTGCCTAAAAAATTAGTTGGTGTCGAAAAACACAGAGGATTCGCCTTCGTAGAATACTACACAAAAAGCGAAGCGAAGGTATAAATGAAAAATTAAAATTAAATTCTTCTATCGTCTCGAATCAACGATCAATATATACATATAATCTTTTCCTACTATATTCGTAGAAAGCATTTAAAGCTTTGTGTCAAAGTACTCATTTGTACGGTCGAAGATTGGTCTTGGAATGGGCCCAAACCGAAGAGGGTGTGGAAGATATTAGAAAACGAACAGCCAAACACTTTTATCAAGGTATGCATTTATCATAATCTCTCTTTTGCTCTATAATTAATTATCTGCTAATAACCGAGTTAATATTTTGTTGATAGATCAACCGATAAAGAAGAGTAAAAAGGCCACGTTTAACCTAGAAGATATAGCTTCGGAGGATGCATAAATAATAAATATGTTATATACATAGTACGATCACGGAAACGATACAATTAAATTCATAGTTCACACGTGACTTGGAAAGTGTATTTTCTTTCGTTATAACTGGCGGCAGATCAAATCGATCGAAAGTTAAAAAGTTCTTTTCGATTCGATGAAGGAGTGCACGATATTGATGTTCGCCTCACGTCGAAACTTTTTCCCGTCTTACTTTTCTCGAAAATAGTTTAAATTTCTACCAGCAGTATGTCGGACACGTGCTAATTCTATGTATTTGGGTTTAACGCTATTCAATCGAATAATTCAACAATAAATATCGCGGCATAATTAACATTAATATCTTCGACCCACGTTCTTCAAGCCGACTTAATTATACAATTTTCAAAGTCGCACGCGCTTGATTATATACAAACCAAACTCGTTTTAAATTTTTAAAGTAACAATTTGATAAAAATTTACTCTTTCGAACCAGTAAAAACACTTATGTATAGATAGATTCTAACAAAATCGAAAAAAAAAAAAAAACGATAAAGCGTGTCTTCAAAAAATTTACATAAATTCCTATAAAATCGCCTTTGAAAATCAAGAGGAGAAGAGTGCGTTTTTAACGAAATTGGTATTATTACAAAAAAAATAAAAAAAGAAGGGAATTCGATGAAGTTTCGGGGTAGGGTGGAAGAAATGTTTTCCTTTCACCTCTGCCTGAGAGGAGGAGTGGCAGGAATGGATTGGAGAGGTTCGGGCAGTCCCACGGTGGAGGTGGAGGCAACCCATGAAAGTAACAGTGGCCTCTCCATCCTCTGCACAACGTTCAGTCTCGCTCTTCCAAGCACCGGTGTACGGTGCTCGCGATCGCTTTCGGGTGCTTTCTTTGGCGTGCTCGTCGGGTACAAGGTCGCGGGTGCATCGGAAACGTCGCGTCCTATGTTAACGGCATAGTGCGCGATGTGCTCGACTTGACGGCGAGGTCCTTCGACGATCGACATCACGGTGTTTTGTAAAGACTGCAAAACAACGAAAATGGATTGGGTAAGATAATTGTGCCAATTTTTCTTTCTCTTCCATTTACACAAAAATCAATCGAAATGTTTTTAAAATTATCCACCGATATACTCTTGTATATAAAGATAAAGAATAAATAAATTAGAAAAGTAAAAAAAAAAAAAAATGAATTTTTGAGAAACTTTCGAAAAATTTCCATATTCGATAAGGAATAATACGAAGGAACTTTCTCGTTCCTGAAATAAGAAACATCCGTATTTTATGTCGATTCACTTGTTCACTTTTCTATTTTTATTTGTTTCAAAAAAAATTAATATTTACCTACCTTCGCCCCGTATTGGAATTCCCCATTGAAAATTCTATGCATGTAGATTGTGCGTGCTGTGGGATCCCCGAAGAGACTAGAAAAAAAAAAAAAAAAAAAAAAAAAAAAAAATTAATTCTAAAATTATTCGCGAAAACGGTTGAAGAAAACGGTTACAACGATGGCGGCGCGCGTTTTGAACAGGATGAGGCTGAGCCGTATTGTTCGAGGGCGAGATCTACATACGTATCGAATGTTTAAAAACGTTTGGCTTCCTGTAGGGAGGTAGAGGAGGGAGAGGATATCTACCGGTTATTCGAGCTGGACTGCAGCACACTTCGCTCCACAGCCGCTACGACGCCAAGCAAAGAAGGAGAGAACGCGTAGCAATTCGAGATTGCAAAACTGTCGAGGTCGCGAACACTTCTCTTCAACCAAACAGAAAATTTCTGTTTTCTATCTCTCGAGTGTCATTTCGTTTATTTTTACACGCTTCCTTCGATCGATAGGTTTGTCGCCGTTTGGGGACAAACTTGTCTAGATTGGAATTTTGAAAAAGCGGTTATATGTGCTTGGAAGAAGTTGGAATACATTATTCCATATAGGTTTGAAATTCGAAGGGTCGAAGCATTTTTCGGAAAGCGATTTCGAAGGAAACCATCGTCGCGGCAAAGGTCGATGGATAAATAATTGTGTAACGCTGACGTAACCGGTTCTAAAAATTCATACTTTCTCTGATTAATTAAACTTGCCACTTTCACGTCGTAAGAAAGTCGTAGAAAACAATAACTAACGAAAATTCGATAAATTTTTTTTTTCATCGTAAAAGAAGAAAAAACCTGTTTCGAAATTTTTTTTTTGAAAAAAAAAAAAATGAGAAAATCGAGAATAATGGATAAACGAGAGAAAAAAATAAGTACTTGGGGAGTGCAAGGAAGGTCAGCTGCTGACCTTTCGAAGACTCGTCTTTCTTTCTTCTTCCTCTCAATTCTTAAGTATAATATTCTCTCTTTTTAATTTAAAAAAAAAAAAGTAAACTTTTCATCGAGGAGAAGGTCAACCAAATGTAACGTATTTGCACATATTTTAAACGTTTTTTAAACAAACAGCTGGATATCGAGAGAATTCTTTTTTTTCGTTTCGGTCACCAAATTCAATGAATTCTTTAATAATAAATTTCGACGATTCATCCTATAAAATAAAATGGGCGAAGGCAGAGGACGAGTCGAGGACGAAAAACAAAAGACAAAGAAAAGAAGAAACCCCATTACCCCTTCTCTTAGACGATTTCCTCCGGTAATTAAGCAACTGGCAAAGAAGATTTAATCAAAATCTTCGCAATCATAATTTCGTAGTAAACAGAGCCGAGAGTCTTGTGCCTCAGAGCGAATTCCATGAAAAGTAAAAGTGACCGAGCCACGTTAGATTTATCTATCGGCGACAAATCGAATCCACTTTGCTTTCGAGCGTATGCGTTAACAGGATGAATACGTATTTATTTTCAACTTCGATTTCCCGTAAAAAGTCGTTAACTGGTTCATAGTTGTAAAAATAATCCAGCTAACTCGACGCAATTTTCATTCCACTCGATCGATTATCATTAAAAATCGATCGGTAAATCGATTTCGATCGAGCGATCGTTAATCCAGAACAAATTTCTCAACGATTCAGACAGTCAGAGATCGAACCCTCGTTACAATGACGCACGAATCCATCCCGTTCACCTTTGCAACTGGTTAACAGTTACCGGACTTACTAGAGATTCTGGATCTTCAAGGTTAAAATTAACCATCTCTCGTTTTCTTCTCTTTTTCGTCCCCGCGTGCCTGGAATATCGAACGATTCCCGAGACCGTGCCTTTCTTCCTTTGTTTCCTTCGAGATCAACGTGTTCGATATACAAGTTTTTGTCCCGACGTGCTCGTTTTCCTAAACTTTATTTATTAGGGATTCCCCGGATCGGTGAATATTTTAAATATTTTTTTCGAAGGGAATCTCGATTCGAAATTAAAATTCATGGCATAGTTATATACCGCACATATCGTCTGGTTCTTTAAAAGGTCTCGCCGATATCGGAATGAGTAACGGTAATAAAACGAAGGGGGTGAAGTCATCGCGTGGACGAGCTGTTCAAATGTCACAGCAACTCGAATGTAAATAAGCCGGTCGTTCCATCCAAATAATCCAAACTTCGATCGATATGCGTTAAATCTGCGATATATTCTCTCTATAATAGATTCGAAGTTGTTGCGAACAATTAAAAAAAAAAAAAAAAAAACGCTTTCTCTCGTACGGATCGAGTAAAAATATCATTGCTATTCCGAAAGTTAGGCAGCAATAACCGATACGCGGTAACAATTGAATGAGAAGCTCTATTGGATGACAGATTCCTCGCTAGAAATCACCGAAAACCAGTTCCGGTTATGAAACATTCCGAAAAGAACTCGTCGATCGAGCAACAGGTGGTTTGCGCCGTATCGTTCGCGGTCTCCGCTATTTCCCGGTTAAAAGCGTGCTCGCACGAGCCTCTCCGACTCTGTAGAAAGTTATTTGACATTTAGACGGATCCGTGGGGGAATTTTTGATCCACCCGCTCGTTTATTTCATCGAGAGATCGGATTTTCTCCTTTTCCTCGTCTTCTTCTTTTTGTTCCTCTTCTTCGGGCAACGAACTTGGAAAAAGTGAAAAGTGGCGTCGACAGACTAGGAATGCGAATGTTTGCCTTTTTTACTAATCTACCGATCCTATCGGAATGACGTTACGAAGCGACGTAACGTTAACGTAACGCGCTCGTTGGCCGAAACGTACTCTCAAGGTAGAAAGTAGTCACGGAACGGGTGTTCTTTCTTCTTGCTTTCTCTTCACACGCGTTGCGTAACGAGGAGTGGCTGGTTGGGTGTCACGGCCCCGCTCTATTTGCCGGACACATCGCATTATCCTCGAAGTCTTGAATAAAATGGGAAGCTGGTCGCCCGCAGGTGCACCGAACCGGCGCTCCTTTCTTTCCATCGATCAAGAATTCAAGCAATTTATATTTACCACGCGAATCCACTTTCCCCAGATATTTCGAAGAGGTTGAAATAGTTGAAAAATACACTCGATATTAAAGATCGATTTCGCGCAAATAATTTCACCGTGAATTGTTAATTGATCATTCGCGTACAGTTATATACATTTACATCTGACTACTCATCAATCGAAATCATACACATCGAATTATTAATTCATCGCATCACTTTTCCGTTACAGGAGAACCGAACGGTATCACTGCTGCTTTGCCTAAGTATTCTACTCGCGACGATTCATAACGGTGAGTATTTCGTTAAACTAACCAAGTTTAGTTTCGTCGTTTCGTTAGCTAGCCGAAAAACAAAGTTAAACGATTCTTCACGAAGCAAATGAACTTTTTTCGAGTTCATCGAGTAACAAAACTATCGTTAATAACTACTGCAAAATGGTGGGAAGGAAGCTTCTTTAAAAAAAAAAGAGGATCAGAAGGACGAATGGCCCATTTACTCCGTGACCGAGTGTCTGATCTCTCTGGTGTAATTTCTCTAGCATAGCCGGTACACGTGGGGACCGGCGCACGCGCGAATGCAGTTTCACTGGACTCGCCATATCTCGACCAGTGAAACGTGCGCACCTCGTCGGAGAAAACATTCGAGGCAAAAACAGGCCTGTCGAGGTGTAGTCGATACAGCGGTGGGGGGGAACCGTGGAAAGTAAATATAAAACAGTTCGGATATTTAAGGCGATATTTCTTCTCGCCAAGTTTTTATCTTTTGTAATCGATACGGTAATCGTTTCTATCCGATTTAAAAGAAAAAATAAATAATTGACGCAATGTAAAGTCATGATTCCGATGGAGATTCATATGTGTATATACGAGACAATATATTTACAATATATATTCGTGAAATATTTTTTCAATTTTAAAAGACCAATTCTAAAAATTTTAAAGTAAAGATTCTAATAATTATCTCGATTCATATTCCAAATACAAAAATTAGAACTCGTTCTCTTCGTAAAATTTCTCGCGCTGCAAAATTACGAATCGCTTCGCAAAACTGTATAACATAACGTAGTTTCTAACGACGAGGCCGACTGTTTCGGATCGTTAAACGTATTTACTGTACTTTGTACGCGTTTCAATGAAAAATAAAATAGTATGCAGTTATCGAGTTAATGGGCGTGCAACGGAATCATCGATAATTGTCGATATACATAGGAAAATAAAAAGAGGAAAAGTTTTACACGGTTCTAACAGATACACTGTGAATTTCAGATTTGCGGCTACCTTTTACCGATATTATCTCGGATATTATGCACCGCTCTTAACTCCATTACCGCCTCTGCAACACTCGTATTACGCGAAACTATCGCGCGCGTGGATAGAATCTGGAACGCGTTCGGTATCGGTGTTGATCTTTACCTCTAAGTCTATTCTCCGGTCGATTCGATTATCATTATCCTGTACCCCGTCGTGATTTCGAACCATGGAAAAAAGGCCATGGAAATTGTACCAGATTACTTTTACTCGTTATTCGCTCGTGTTTCTCTCTCGTGGAAAAATCAAAAAACG